GCTGCCGGTTGGGTTTGGCAGCATCAAGGGTTGGCGCTACCAGCGGCGCGGAGGGGCTCCGGCGGGGGGGCAGCCCATGCGCGCCTGGGATGCCCCGCCGCCGGTTTCCCCCGAGGCTTTCAAAGCCGTGGAGGGGCTCCGGCGGCGGGGCATCCGGTGTACAAGACGACCCCCGATTTTTGGGGGATGTTTTTTAACATCAGAGGTCGTCTTGTACGCCGGAATATACGGTATGTGAAATGTTAGTGTCTGTACGGTGCTTAAAGTTTGAAAACAAATTTATGTTATATATTGTACTTGTAAAGATATGTATTTTCAGAAAAGCACTTCTAAAATTCATATTTTTACAAACATGGTGTTCTAAAGACAATTGGAAATGTAAAGTACACTGTTCCATATATATTTTTAAATAACACGAAATATGCACTATCAACTCTTTTTATGAGTGCATGGTGGAAGCATTATCTATATTCTAATGTTTGTTGTTGCCACTTGAACATAGAATATACCTTTTCAAATACTAATTTATCACTGTAAACAGCACTATCCCGTAGGAGAAACAAAACATTAGAACCCTGTCCTGAAGAGTTAAAAGTTAGAGATGTACAACTAATTGATGTTTTGGGTTGCTGGCAGCTCCAAAAATTGAGGAAAAAATTGCTTTGGGTCAACTAGAAACCTAAATTTATTAGAATTTTCAGTGAATGGAAAAATGAGAAAAATGTTATTGCATCAAACAAACCATTTTTGTTCTAAATTAAATATTTGGTTTTAATATATCTGGCATCTGTGTTTTTAAATAAAAGTAAAGAAACTGAAGGGCTATATTTACAAAGGCATCACTCACAAAATGAAGGAGGAGGTTCCTAATAGGGCAAGGGCATTCATGTGGAAGACCCAAATTCAAATCACTGATGTTCAGCAAAGACTTCAGACCTAGGTCTCCCTTATTCCTGGTGAATGCCCTAACCACTAAGCTATTAGTTATTCTGTAATGGGTCTCTCTGTCTCTTCTGTTGAATATGTTGCACTTTGTGTAAAATACAGTACATTCAGAGAGTGATGATGAATCCTTAGTATTGTCACTAGGAAGAGGTGATTTCTGGATCCTAGTCTCTACTCCAGTAAAATTATTTTTACAAAATAGAAGAGCTTCAATAGGAGACAATGAGAGAGACCCACCTGTGAATAACCAATACCATTGTTTTTAAGGCACCTACCAGGAAGAGACTGTAGAGAAGAATATATGAGATTTAGTCTAAGGAAAGTGATCAGTGGTAGCATTTTTGATAGATTTGAGAAGAGGAAGTTAAAAGTGTAAAGCCAGAATGCAGGGGATTGCAATGGGGAAGGTTGGAGATAAGGGCATGGACATTAATACTACTTAGATAGAATTACATGTCTGAAGTTCCTGTATTCTCTCATCAACCCCAAAATATTAAACAAAAGTAATATTTTTCTTTGTTTTGGATCATCACATCATCATATATATAGTAGCCCAATGTCTCTGAGTCTGTAACGCTGAAATGCTGGCTGTTCCCTCTGGGCGGCGCTGTTGCTGAAATGCTAGCTGTTCCTTCTGGATGGGTGGCCCGGGCTGCATGGGAAATGTGGGGCCCAAACGGCCTCTTGTTTCCCCTTGGCGACCCGGCTGAATGGCGCAGAAGTCAGCTGAGTGCCACGGCGGGACGGGAAGGGGGGGTGGGGCGGTGATGTGTGGCATGACAGTGGCTCCGGGCCCTGCCCCCGGGGTGGGGAACTGGCACTCAGCTGACTTCTGCGCTGCTCAGCCAGGCTGCCACATGGGAGCAAGTGGCGCAAGCGACCGTTTGGGCTCCACGCTCCCCATGCAGCACGGGGAGCACAGAGCCCAAAAGACCATTTGGGCTCCGCGGTCCCCCAGGTGAGAGGCAGGAGGGGAGGAGAAGAGAAAGAGAGAGACAGAGAGAGAGAGAGAGACTGGAGGCTCAGGAGAGAAGACTGACATGGAGGAGAGACTTGAAAATCCCATTTTATGATGGGCTAATTGGCTAGCTACATATGTTTATTGACTCTTAGGCCAGGTCTAACCTATAGGGGATTGTTGAATTAAGATATGCGTCTTAATTGAGTTGAATTAAGTCGACGTGTCTTAATTCGAGCTTCCGCAGTGGAAGGTCAGTGGGAGCAAACACTCCTGCCAGTTTTCCTTACTCTTTGGGGGGAGCAGGAGGACTGGTGCCAAAAAGGGTGTCCTCTGAATTAGATTTACCAGATCTTTACTAGATCTGCTAGATTGAACTCCAGAAGACTGACTGTGGCAGCACTGATCTTCCTTGTAGTGAAAACAACCCCTTTGGGAGTATGTGATTCTTTAGCATTTGGCCTTCCTACAAGGAGGCAACAAGTTGATCCTTTGGATGATAGATGTTTTGATTTGTGAGAATCTTTTTGGAAAATTATGTAACCATTTCATACATGTACCTTCATATAAAATGTTAATAACAATTCAACTGTTACAGCCTTGTCATGAGATGGCAACATCCTATACAGAAACTTCAGGTCAGCTGTTGCTATATGAAGAGCGTTTGGAAGACATGCGGCAGGAACTTGTACGACAATATCAGGAACATCAGCAGGCAACAGAATTATTGAAACGGGGCCATATGCAGCAAATGGAACGGCAAAAAGAAAATCAAGAACAACTCCTAGCAGAGCTTCAAAGACTTAAAGTTCAGTTGGCTGAGGTAATGTGGGGCCTGGGACAATATTGCAGGAGCAGAAGAGTGGATTAACAACTGATCTTGGCTTTAAAACATATATTCTTACCACAATGAGCCCTAACGTGTCATGGACTAGTTTTGGTTGGAGCCTTCAGCAGTTCAACCATCTTATTATTTCTGGGAAAACATTTAACAGCCTGATCTCCTATCACTGGCTGTATAGTGAAGCCTACCATAGCCAAGTCGAGGGTAGGAGGGCTCTGGTACCAGCTTCCATTAACCAATTTCCCTCAGACTAAGGGCTCATCTAGACTACGCTAGAGTGTCGAAAGAGGTTATGCAAATTTAGTGGGAATTTGCATATACACTTTTGACACTCTAGTGTAGTCTAGTTGAGCCCTAAGTGTAGTCCCAAAGGATTATCATTAATTGTCCCCACTCTCTGATTGTTACATAAGAATATAAGAATGGCCATACTCGATCAGACCAAAGGTTCATCTATCCCAATATCCTGTCTGCTGATAATGGCCAATACCACATGCTCCAGAGGGAGGGATCACAACAGGTAATCATCACATGATCCTGTCACCCGTTCCCAGACAAAGAGAGGCTAAGGACACCATTTCTACCTATCCTGGATAATAGCCATTGATGGACCTAACCTCCATGAATCTATCTAGGTTTTTGTTTTGTTTTTTTGAAGCGTGTTAAAAAATTGTTGGTGGAGAAGCACTCCATTGATCCTTTTAGTGCCCTGTCCTCACTGCTGACATTGTCACAGTGGTCCCCAGACTGACTGTTCACAGTCCAAACTTGAATCATCTGTGAAGTTTGGGTATTCCAGGAGTGATCCCAGTGAGTGTCTGTAATGCCATATTTCTTCCCTCATGCTCCTTTTTATTTCAAGCCGGATGTCCTGTCTTCTGGTGTGGAAAGGCAGATCACACTGCTCTTCCACTGCATATTGTGCTGCTTCCACCCGAGTCTTAGGTGAAATTAGAAGACTACCCAGAGACTCTGTGGTCTGCCTGATTGTGTCTAGTGCTGTTGAAGCTGCTAGAAGCTTTCATGCACTGGTGGGGAGAAGAGTTAATACTCCCTAGAGAAGAAAGAGCAAGAGTGAACTGTTCCATTAGGAGTCTCAGAGGGGTAACCACGTTAGTCTGTAACTGAAACACTTAAAAAACAACAAATAGTTCTGCAGCACCTTATAGAGCACATTTTAACAAAAATGTGGATGGTATCATGAGCTTTTGTGGGCACAACCCTCTTCTTCTGATGAATGGAGTAAGTGGTCCAGGATACAAATAAATAGCAGAGAAAGAGGGGGTGGAGAGGAAAAAAGGAGAAAAATAGGGGGGAAATGTCAGTTACAGTGTCTGTGCTAACTGAGGCTAATAGAGCAGGCTGTAAGTACCCAGTGCTTAACTGTTTATGTCATTAGAGTGTGGAATGTAGCAGCCCATCCAGGTCAGGTCTTTTTTCAAACCTTAATTACAGGTGTCAAACTTGTAAAGGAAGCCAAGTTCTGCAGCTTCTCTTTCCAGTTGGCTTTTGAAATTGCTTTGTAATAGTATAATCACTTTTAGATCCATTGGTGAGTGCATTAGTGAGCGCCCAGGCAAGTTAAAATGTTCCCCCAGTGGTTTCTCTGTGTTACCATTTTGAACACCTGATTTGTGTCCATTAATCCTTTGTCATGGAGACTGTCCAGATTGGCCAATATACATAGCAGGGGGGCATTGCTGGTACTTTCCTCCCCATCCCCTCCCTTTCTCTGCTATTTGTACCCTGAACCCCTTACTCCATTCATCTGAAGAAGTGGGTTGTGCTCATGATACCATCTGCATTTTTTTGTTAGTCTCTAAGGTGCTACAAGACTATTTATTGTTTTTTAATATGTTCCATTAGGAGCAAGAGTGAACTGTGTCTGTTGTGCTTCCCAGCAGCCAGAAGATGTCTTACTTGTTCCATTGGGCTGTAGGGTGCTTGCCTTTGTAAAGTACAAATTAGTTTAGCAGGAGAGGCAAGCATGTATGTATATTAGTGCTGTTAACAAGTATTTATTTTTGTAAATGTGTAACCACCAAATTTTTTAGAAGTTGTACATTTACATGCAGGGGGACAGGCAGGAACTGGTGCTTCTGTGAGAGGCAGCAAGGGGTAGGGTAGGTGGCTCTGTGGGAGCTGGCATGCGTGGGGAGCCAGTCTAGAAGTCGGCTCCCCATGTGCATTGGCTCCCCCCCCCCCCCCTTAACTGATGAGCCCAGGCTTATTGGTTAATCATGTACATGAGTACATGTTAACATCCTCAATGTTTATTTATATATTTTGCATTTCTAAAATGTAGCCATATTAGAATCCATGTCCAAATTCATACAATCTCCATAAAAGCTATGTTAAAGGAACTTCTCTTAATTATCAGAGTCTCAAAAATCAGATAGCTTTCAAATTGTTCTTAAAGATTTTATCTCTTACCAGATCAAGAGGACAAAACTTAAAGGAGTCCGTCTAGTCATACGTTCCCAGACTCACATATTACATTGACAGTACATGCATAGGTGTTTGATGTCATCTCAACAATGCAATATTATAGAAATATATGAGAAAATAGTGAAAGGAGAACCATAAAGTTTTTCAGTTGTGCTCCACTGTGCTTACAAGGTTCCACCTGACCCCTTCTCCTCCTCCCATACTATGTTTTGCTCTGTCTTCATTCTCTCTGCAGCAGGGTATGTATAAGTGTCAAAGTGTAACAGTGATCTTCTGTTGCTAATTATTGTGGTTGTAGATGGCCAGTAAGCCTGCTTCTCCTCTTTTCAGCTCCACAGGTGTATGGGCAGGCCTGCTTATCCTGTTAGCCTGTTTCTGGACCTCTTCCCACCCATTATCCTAGAATTGTTCCTCTAACATATCTATGTCTTCCTCTACTCTTCATTGCCTCTTCTGTTTCCTTAGACTCACATATATACATAGCTGAAACTTCTAACAGTGGGAGGAGAGAGTATGTGTGAGATTTAGTTCATTAGCTCCTCTGTTTTAATGCAAAGGATGTCTTTGTCATGAGATATTTTAATTCTAACATCAGTAATTATTGAATCAGTAATACTTCTAGTTCCTCTAATTTTGGACCATAGCACTGGAAGGGTCATAAATGTTAGAGAAGAAACAGGCGACCCAGGAGCGGATGGGGTAAAAGGAACTGTTTTGTTGCCCACGCATGTTTACAGCAGACATTCAATACAATGTCCGAGTGGCAACAACCTGGTGCTAATCTCACCCTTTTATCTATTTTAGTATGTTAATTTACACGTCTATCACTACTTTCCCTAAAACCTAATTTAGTAATGTTAACTCTGACACAATGAATGTTAATAAGTAGGAGATTAATACAATTATACCCGCCCCCTGTTTGTTGTTTACTGGTTGTTAGCTGAATGAGCATTATATACTGTCTTAATCAGCAGCTTATAGGGAGGGGGAAAGCACTTTGACCCTGAAAATGTTTTTACAGACAAGTGCGAAGACAAAACAAGACACTGTTCAGTGCAACCATCTTCCAAGGCTGCCAGGACAAAAGGAAAAAACATGTTTAAAGGGCAATGGCAATGCCTATTCTGACTAGGCCCCTTGCCCACTGATGTACAGTCATCCCAGACCACTATTAATTTTTACATATCCCAACAATAAAGTCCAGTCTCCAGTGGGCAACCCATTCCATCCTGTTCATAAACTTTATCAAGCTCCCTAAAACTAGTTTGTTTGTTCCTGACCCTTATTGGCAGGCTGTTCCAGAGTCTCATTCCCCTGATTATTAGAAATCTCCCTTCCTGATTTTACCCTGAACTGCAATCAGTTTGGTATATTATAGTTTCACCTTTGTGAAGATCTTTTATGAAAAAGACATATTATCTGTGTAGTCTATCTGGCACACTGTATATTATATTAATATTAATATTATATATTATATTATATAGTATTATAGAGTATTGGAAATGCCAGGAATCACTAACACCAGAAGATTACAAACCTCCCTAATGTTACTGCTTTCCTTCTACCTTTATGTCCTTATGACATTTCATTTTTAGAGTGTCTCTGTGGAGAATGATAACTTGGTTACAGAGAGAGAGAGAATGCTTTTAAAGGAACTAGAATTGTTAAAGCAACATCCTGTACCCGGAAGAGAGAAGCTGCATTGTGAGCTATGCAACAACAGTACGCAAACACAGGTAAATATGGACTTTGGCTACCTTAGGAGCCATGGTATGTAAATGAAGTAAGATTTCTTTTGTCTGCTGCCTTTTGGGTTGGTTAAATAATGAGGAGGTGGAGTTTAGCTGCCTATCTTTTAATGTTGCTGTAACAACTTTCAACAGAGAACCCCCAAACTGTTTCTTTAGTATAACAAACTTCATTTTAAAAGGCTCTGGCTTGGATCTGTCGTGGTTTTTTTCATCTAAACATTAATGGTTTTGTATTTTTATCTTTCCTGGATACTAGCAATTTCATCTCAAGGGATAATTGTTTTATTTCAAACAACATGTAATTTTTGCATAAAAGTTTTAATTTTGTAATGTAACCATGTATCAGAATATGATGTTGATTCCAACATGACAGGATTTTTGTCTTTTTTGTCCTCTCTGCCTTTGCAAATATTTACCCAGAATGAAAATGAAAGCCAAATTAAATCAAAAGAGTACACCTTTGAGGATGAAGATGGAGACAGAAAGACTGAAGAAATACCTTCGGATAGTCTTTCAAAAGAAAGGTATTCAGGGCTTGTACTTAAGTCCAGACTTTCTTTAATTCAAAGTGCTATAAGCTTCTATAAGTGCAATCAAAGAATTATATTTAGTTTTGTAAAGCAGATAATTCCCAAATGTATCAGTTATATGCAATAAAAATATGTAATAGGTCAATATAGAAGCCAAACGTGGATGCTTTTGGAATAAAGCTAATAATAATTCATCACTTTTTTGTTTTATTTGAATGGCTGTATAATAAAATTGGGTTTTTTAAAAAAATGATCTTGAAAATAATATTCTGAGGCTATTTATTCCAAGTAGTTGAATCAAGCATTTAAATGGGATTTCACATCTCTAATGTGAAAGACCGTGGCTTTCAATCTGTGGTCCATGGACCCCCTTCCCCTCCCCCATGGTCTCTATACTATATCTAAGATTTTTTTCTCAAAAAATTTTTAGAGTCCACAAATTTAAAAAGTTTGCAATCCACTACTCTTAGAGACTCAAACTATAGGCATGACCTTGAATAATTTGTATAGTTCTGCTTTTTAAAGTGATTATAAAAATGTTACCTACTATACTTTGCATGTGTACTCCTTGGGTAAAATGCTGGCTCCAATGACATGATTGGCAAAGCTCCCATTGACTTCAGGGAGGTTAGGATTTCACTCATTCCTTCTGTGTGTTCTGAGTCATAACTGTTCAAGTTAATGACAAAAATAGATGGTGACTGTTTTTAACTCTAGCACTGCTGACAACACACACATGGATAAGTTAAAAGGGAAAAGACCCAGTCTGACTTGTTTTTGAAGGGTTATTTTTGAGGGAACAGTAGAAAACAATGTTTACTTGTAAACTAAGAAATTTGGCAAGGAAATCTGTGGTTTGTGACATGCATGGTGTCTCAAAATGTCATTTTTTACAGACTCATTTTTTAAAGCAGCACTATACTTTAAAAGTCTCCTTCTGGTTAGCCTTGTGCTCATGGAACTGCACAATGCTTAGAATCATAGAATACTAGGACTGGAAGGGACCTCGAGAGGTCATCGAGTCCAGTCCCCTGCCCCCATTGCAGGACCAAGTACTGTCTAAACCATCCCTAATAGACATTTATCTAACCTACTCTTAAATATCTCCAGAGATGGAGATTCCACAACCTCCCTGGGCAATTTATTCCAGTGTTCAAATACCCTGACAGTTAGGAACTTTTTCCTAATGTCCAACCTTGCTGAAGTTTAAGCCCATTGCTTCTTGTTCTATCCTCAGAGGCCAAGTTTTCTCCCTCCTCCTCATGACCCTTTTAGATACCTGAAAACGGTTATCATACTTGTCTTATCTCCTGCTCCTACTTATATGATAAGCAACAAGGGCACTGTGAAAAGTGAAGATTGCAACAGAGGAGGCTGACCCAGGTTTAAGGGACAGACCTACATATAAAGGACGCTACATCAAGTGGGGTGAGAAAAGGGTTGAGTTAGGCTGTTCATCTTTACCAGTGAGTTTGCATGAAGTGCCTGGTAAATTTACTTAAGGGTTTTAGAAAGGCTGGTGTATATCCACCTCCCATTGATAAAGTGATTCGCCAATTAATACATCTGCACTTCAGCTGTTGGGTCTCATACTGTTCATCCAAAAGTACTGTATTCTGCCTCTTTCAGAGTAGGTAGTAGATATTCAAAGTAGCTTCCATTAATCCTTATTTTATTGTCAATGAACCATTTGTGGTTATGGTATATCAGCTTTCTGGTGTGCAATTTCACATGAAGCAGGATTTTTTTTAACATGTGTTTGCATTTGGTCCTTCAGTGTCTGTTTCAATGGGTAGGGAAGAAAGACAGTTCAGGAGAAGACAAATTCTGCTTTTATTAAATGGTAACAAGTAATGCTTGTGAAGAGACTGAAGTTTTATCATTTTTACTGAACAGGGGTGAAGTTACATTATGGATTTTGTCAAGAACTTGGCACAAAACTAATACCAATTCTACTTTAATACTGCTCTGCTCTGCAAAGGACAAAATGCATGCTTTATCTTTTTTTGGTAATATTAGCCAAAAGTACTTTGTCTGAAGCTCAAATCACTGTTGAATCAGTGTACTATGACTAGGCGATTAAGAAACAGTTTTAAATACTAGAAGCATCCTAAAGAGTCCATGTATCTAGACACAAATACTCAGGTTGGAAAATTCTGCATTGTTTTCACTAGGCACACTCTCCATATAGTCTTTACTACATATTCCACAGAGATTAACTGACCAACATATATATATATATATATATGAAACCTAATAAGGAGAAAGGACTTATAATGGAAATGCTGACAAAAATTGTTGCATTCTATAGTTATTTGATATAACAATATGTAATTGACTATGGACTGATATAGATATGCTAATGTAGCATTTACATTACTTATGTACTTTTTTATCTTAAAACCAAATCCTAGTACCATTGTATCAATAGCAAAATTTCATAGTGTTCAGTAGGACCAGGATTTGGTCCATAAAATGCAAACATAGTATGTGAGAGGAAAAACTTATTAATTTGATAAATTATTAACTTCTATTTCATCTATATGTACAGGCATTCTCTACAGAAGGCAAATGACAGACTCCTAAAGATTCTGTTAGAGGTTGTGAAGACAACTGTAGCTGTAGAAGAAACAATTGGTCATCATGTTCTTGGATTACTGAAGAGATCTGGAAAAAGCCCTCTTTCTAAAATTGATCTGAGGGACATGGAGGCAGAGCAGTCACTAAATACAATGAATGAATTTCATGGAGGTGATGTTTACTCTTTCAAATCCTTATACACGCTATCAAATCCTTACAGCAATCTCCGTCCAACTTAATCCCCCCACATTCCCAGCCTTTCTCCCATGTCTCTCAGGCTACTCTAGGCACCCAGGAAAAGACACACTGCCTAGACTGCTGGGGAAGAGACATGTGTCCTCTGACAAAATATTTTTCTTGCATTTATCTGAGCAAAAGGCACAGAAAAATGTGGGCCATAGGAATTCTGTTCCCCCCCACCCAGGAGTGCATAATTCCCTCCCTCCGGAGTATTAACTTGCACTGCACCTTATTCATGTATTTTTTTTGCATCCTGCTTTAATAGTAAAAATATTTTATAATTATTTTATTATTTGTCTCTGTAATCATAATTCATATATATATAATATTTTCGTTTTAAATACTATTAATCCATTTATAAACATTATTGTTATTGCAGAAGAGCCCTCTTCCTCATATCATGGTACTAATCTGGGAGATGAGGCAACTAGCAGGTGGTCAGGAGTAACAGAGGAAGGACTTCAGCTAAGTCAAGATCTCACAGAGAGTGGTTTTGTTGGAGCAGAGCTAGATCCTGATAATGAAGAATTAATTCTAAATATTAGTTCTCGGCTTCAGGCAGCCGTTGAAAAACTTCTGGAAGCCATCAATGAAACCAGCAATCAGGTAGAGTTATCTAATTGTTATATGATTTGAGTTTGCAGCAGTAGACCTCTCTTTGGTTTGGTTTAGTTTTTTTTTTTTTAATTAATATACTCTTTGTTTAGATGCAGACTCTATATCCATAAGGAAAGGAGACTATTTTTGTATTTTTCTTAGAGCCCTGATCCTGCAAGCAGTTTTACATAGGATAATTTTACATATTAGAATAGTCCCTTTGAATTGAATAAGACTGCTTGTGGGTAAAGTTATTCACATGTGTATATGTTTACAGCATTAATACCATGTTTTTGTGGAAGGGCTCCAGGTATCGAAAGTTTTCCCTTGCATAGCTTTTAAAGTTGCATTCTAATCATTTGAATTTACAAGTCTATTTCTTGACTTATTCCACACATTCCTTACATGCTGCTAGGGTTGTGTACTCTACCTGAAACACAGCCTTTTCTGTATAGCTATATAATAGCTATATAATGGCAAACAAGGATATGTTGATGTCAATTCCAAGTTTCAGAAGATAAATATATGGGTTTCTGTGCCATGCATGCCATTCCTGACATCATTTAGCTATGAATGTTATATCTGTTTTGTTTTTTAAAATTGGGATGAAAATTATTGCATCACAGTTTTTCATGAAGGCAAACTTATACCGTTAAGAGTGTTTGTCATTATATCTTTCCTTTCCTATGCAAAATGTGATGGGTTGTATAATTTTCCCAAGCTATTCTCGTGTTTTCTATACTGGAAAGTTCTGTGCTACAAAAAGGGTTCATATATAGAAAATAATGTATATGATTAAATGAAACTAAAATTTCACGTAATTAAACTAAGAATGTAAATTGAAAACAGGATTAATGCATTTATTTGCAGTTACATATTAATTTCAAAATCATAAGAATTTGAAGTGATATAAAATAGTCGTATCCCTATAATGAGATCTCTGAGTATATGCATTATTTACACATTTTTCTTCACTATCTAATATAAATTGTGGTACCATTTCCCAACTACTCACCAGAAAGTTTTCTCTACTTTGGAGTAACAAGTATACGGGAAGATGTGATCTCTGATGTCTGCCAGTTTAGATATATGCAATTGCTAACAAAAAGAGGAGTCGTGGGGTTGTTGTTTTTTTAATGTTGCAAGAAGTTTCTTAATAGTTTATTAAATATTCCATGTATGAAAAAGTAATTCAGTTAGTTTACCTTCAATGGCAGCCCAAAAGAAAAGAGTTTGAAAAGTTGAATAATAGAAATAACATGACATGGTCAACATAATCAATCTGAGAAAATAACATCAAAATAAAATAATTGCACACAAAGCAGGTATTTAAGTCATTTCGTTTATTAATTGTACTAGGCATACAAACAGGCATACTTTTTAAAATTAACTTTTTTTAGAGTTGTGGTAGAAACCTGTCATAATCTTGAAAGTGCTATTTTAAACTTGTTTGAACACATGCTTTCTGAGCTCTGATGTGGAATTTGAATCCTGTTGTGCAAGCTTCATAAATGGGCGTATTCGTTCAGATTCCACCTGCCAGTATACCTAATTAAGCCACTCCCTCTGTCCTGAACTCTTAATCAGGGAAGAGGTTGAAAGGAAACTTTTAGTGAGTGAGAGGGCACATTAGTTTATTAACTGAGTTCAAAATAGCTCCTCCTGTTGGATTAACTCAACGAACAAGAATAAAGGCAAATATCTTCATAAGTAAATTTCTTGTTGATGTTCCAGTGGAGATTAAAAGTATAGACAGTTGCTGCCAGGTTCTGCTCTGATTTCTTGCTTGCTCCAGTCTACGTGCTCTGATTGTGAAAGTATACTTTCTGTATCTGGTAATTACCTCCCTCCTGTTACCATTTTTATGTTTCTGAAGGATTCAGATTGCACTTTAATGTGAAAAATATTAGAGAGAAGAAGTTTCTGCAAATGTTGATTCTTTTTATTGATTGACAATTACCTGGACTTTCCTGATTGTTCCAACACTGTTGCTAGCACTACTATGCCCTTTCCTTAGTGTAAAAAGTGTAAGATGCTTTATTGCTAATATCTACAACTCAGATAGCTAGTGCAAAATAAAGGAGGAGAAAAGAGCAACAGCAACATCTTTTGGAATGGATTCTTACCGCACATACTGGGCATCTAACTTATTTAATAGCTTGCATGCAGAAGGCCAAGAAGAAGATATTTATGAAGTTGAATCTCATGTACCTTTACCAAATCCTTTTCCTTTCACTGAACACTTGGATGAAAATAACTCTGTAGTTGTAAATACTTCAATTTTTCACTACAGGCACAAAAAAAATGATCATATATTAAAAGTTGTCTCTAAAATCTCTTTGCCTACACCTCCATATTCAGTAAGTATGATATAATTGAAGAAATTTGAACCTTTTAATCTTTGCAACTAAAAGAAAGTGTGTATGGAAAAAAGTTAAACATATATCTCTCGAAGATAGACTCCATTGTTTTTGCTCATGTATCACTGTCCATATTTTAAATTAATGATTTTAACAGGCAGTGATAAGTGTTAATTATAAAATGAGTAGGGCTACAAACTGCAACTGTATTGGGTGCTAAGTTTCTTTTAGGAAAAATACAAAGGTAGAGGATTTCCTGTATTCTTACGAATTTAGTTTAGTAGTGCTTATTATTTATACTAGTAACAAAGAGATTGGATTTGGTTCTTTTGGGTATGTAATGTGTAAATGTAGTGTAATGAAGTAATACCACTCATGCAATTTTCATTTGCTACCCTGTAATATACATGGCTTAAAATTAATAGTGCTAGTAAATTTTAAATAGTTTAATTCTAGTAATTTATGAAAAGGATATTGTCAACTTAAAAAACACATTTCTGTCTGATTTTTTCCCTATGCTTATTACCAGTAACACTTAACTTCTTCATTATTTAAAGGGATTAGAGAGGAAAAATCATTTTATTTTTCAGTTTTAATGTGTACCTTTGATAGCACTTTACGGGCTTGTCTATACTAGGAAAGAAATCCAAATTACCTAAATGTATGAATTAAAATTTGATCTGTTAAGCTACAGTAAATCCCTGTTTTGACATTCTCATTCAGAATTAAAGTGGCTTTATTTCAGTTTAATTTAATTCAGCTTGGAAATTAGTTAATTTGGATTTCCTGACTGTCTTCTTATAAACAAGCCCTAAGTCAAATTCACTGTTTACTCTGTATAGCAAGTTTGTTATTTAGTTTCCCATTTGGTTTGCATGGTTTTTCATATAGCAATATAGGATATAAAAACTTAAAATAGTTTAAAAATGCTTTAAACCCATAAATATTTAGTAGGGAGATTTGTGAGTCCTTGCAGTACGTATCCCTCCTTTTAAATTTATTTTTGAATTTTCAAATAGATGATGTCCCTTTAAAAGTCAATACAGTTTATAGAAGCATGCACCCTTTTAAACGCCTTGCATTATTTTCTAAGACTAGTATAAATTCATTAGCATTAAAAGAGGAAATAATAGTGATTTTGATGTTTTCTAGTCAAAAGTCTTATTCCGAACAGCCATTTTTATTGCTAAGAGGTAGGTTGGTGTGAAATTGTTATAAAATATTCCCAACTTATTTTTCAAAGAATGTAAAGCCTTCGGTTTGAGTTTTAGTAAAACAATTTAGTCTGAGCTAAGTTGTACTATCCTTAATTGTACTAATTAGTCTAACTGTAGTTAGTGAAAAATTAACAGGCCTTAATTTTGAAGGATTTGATGAAGTAGTCTCCATTTTACAGAACAGACTTGCAAAACACAGAAGTGACTCTTCTTACAAATATCTGCCAGTACTTAGAATATGAAAACAAGGGTGTGAATTCTTTACTTTTCTAAAGTTAAGCAAACATTTATTGTGTCATTCTGTAATTTGAGGACCATAAAAAGGTATACATTAAAAAGCCTTTACAGTGTTCATAAGGGATGGTGTAAACAAACATTGCTTTACTGCCTCTTTAATTGGAAAATTTAATATTTAAAGTTCACATTTTCCTAGAGTGTCTACTTACCTATGTGTATGGAAGAAAAAAGGAATGCTGCTGATATAAAAATTTGTAGAGAAATCCTATAGATTTTGTGTGATGCTTCTTAAGCATACTAAGAATGTGATTAGTGGCAGTACACTCCTACATGTTTTAAATGCAAAACCCATTCTATTTAAATAAAAGCGAGTCTGGTATAAACTGACACAAAGCAGGAAGTTTCAACTTTGAACACACAGATATGGATTTTGCCATGTGACTCATACTGTACACTGCACTGAACGTTAGTCTTCTTATTGGGACGTCATATTGCAGTATGTCTGTGCATATGTATTAAGAATCTGATCTAACATCAATTGATGTTAATACTTTTACATGAAAGACAGAGGATATGTCTTCAGAGCAAAGAAAATCCTGCAGCTGGCCAGTGCCATCCTACCCAGATGCACAGTGCTTGAGCTGTGGGGAAGTTTCATTGCTGTGTAGACTTCCTGCTTTGGGTTGGAGCCTGAGTTCTGGGATCTTTCAGCTTCACAGGATCATAGAGCCCAGTCTACAGTCAAGCCCAGAAATTTGCACAGCAATGAAACAGCCTCAGAATCTGAGCCCGAATTGACTGATAGGGGCCAGCTGAAGGTTTTCTTTGCTTGTAGACATAACTGTAAGATAAGTGTTTTTATTTAAAATTCGTATTGATATCTAATATTTGCAACTTTCTCCTGCTGTAGCTAGAACATGCTAAAGCAACACAGACAGAACTCCTGCGGGAATCATTCAGAAAGCAGCAGGAGGCCACTGAGTTTTTCAAATGCCAGGAAGAATTGCAAGAGCGACTCAGTGAAGAGGTCAGAGTCAGAGAGCAGATGGCATTGGAGCTCAGCAAAATGGAGGGTAAGCATTTCCCATTGATAGTTGCTGAATTTGAAAACATAGACACATTCATTCACTTTCTATAGCATACGGCTAAATGTTGTAGCTATAATTTATTTCTTATTTATTTAGAAATCTACTTTAAGTAGCTAACTACAGTAAAACTCCATTGATCCGGCATT